TTTATTTTTGTTTCTACTGAGTATATCCTTCTGGGCACACAGAGAAGAAAAAGTTAACACACTGAGGGTACTTCGTGACAGTCTGTATTAGTCCCTTTTTCATTATCATGCCGAAATATATGAAGCTTGGTATTTGTAAAGAAAAAAGGTTTATTTAACTCGGTGTTGGAGGCTAAGAGACTAAACAGCCCAATACTGCGTCTGGCAAGGGCCTCCTTGGCTGCATTGCCTCATGATGGACAGCATCACCTTGCCAGACAGGAAGAGCAAGGCTTAGGGACCAGACATGTGACCTCCCAATAGTCCTGTCTCTTAGAGGTCCTACTTCTCAGTACTGCCACACTGGCAACCAAACTTCCAGCACAGGAACCGTCAGGGGACACACTCAAGCCATAGCATAGTGCAGATGATTTGTAACTAATATACCTACCTTATAGGCTTATTGGGCAGATTAAATAAAATAATAAAGATTTAAGAGCCAAGGACAGTTCATGCCACATAGAGATTAGCAAATGTTGGAGAGTGGTTATAGGCTATCAGTATAAATGATTTGTAAAGTCATTTGTAAATCATTTTCAAATATTTTTCCATGTTAAGGACAGGTGAGTTAGATTGAATTCTTTGGAATAGTTCTTTGGAAAGTTTGTTTTGCAGTGAACTTTGCAAGAAGGCAGAGCTGGACTATCACTGCAACTGAAGCTGCAGCGGATCCTACAGGGATCCTAGTAGATCCAGTACTCTGTCAGAGTCATCCCCCATCAGCCAGCAGCTCCCCTCATCAACCGGTTTCTGGTTTTGGGCTGCCCCACTGGAGAGACAGTGGTGTAACCTTGGCCAAAGCAATCCTCTGTCTCAGGAGTGTTTAACTATACTACAGACCGTCAGCAGCTAAGTAGTCAGACTTGAAGAAGGCCTCAGAGAACTCCTCTTGACTTTTCTGGTTCCAAGGCCTTCACACTTGATCTGTGCCACACTACCAGCATTCCATGGTCTCCAGCCCGCAGGCAACCTGTCCTTGGGCATTTTGGTCACCATAATTGTGTAAGCCAATTACTTAACAAATTCCTTCTCACGTATCTATATACATGTAGCTATGTATGTATACATTTTCTGTCTCTCCCCAAAAGCCTAACACACGGGGGCTTAAGGGCCAGAGTAGGGGAGAGGAATGGACAGGTAAAGTATAGGGGATTTTTAGGCCAGTGGAACTATTTTGTTTCCTATTCTATATTACATTGGGGTACATGTACATGTATCAAACACGCATGTATTCAATAGGCCTGTAGAACAGGAAGAATGAACTCTAATATGAATGGTGAACTTTACTAAATAACGTGTTTGTATTGACTTATCAAGTACAATGAATATACTACACTAATGGAAGGTACTAAAATAAGGAAGAGAGTGAGGGGAAAACAACGTATAGGGAATTCTGCATTCTCTCCTCAAGTTTTCTGTAAACAAACACTTAAAAAAATGAAGACTATTAACTAGAAGAAAAAAACAAGCATCTGTTTCCGTAGCCTACCAGAGGTAGCCACATTAACAAGTAGCCATGACTAAATTAAAGAGAAGATACACTCAGAAGCAGAGGAGAGGAGCTCTCCTTGTCATAGGCTGGACAAAGGCCCTTCCAGACAGTTGTGAACTATCAGGACATAAATCTACAAATAAACAGCTGCTTTGTTTATGGATGCATAATGGGTATCACCAGAGCTTGACTCATGTTTCAGGATTGTTGCTGTCTCCACAATGAGCTATGACACAAGCATTGTGTCTTGTTCTACACATTCATAGAATGGTAGGGGATCTGGTCCTGTCACAGGACATTTGATAAACAAACAAGACAAATTGGAGTCGATTCTCCTGGTGATTGCCAGTGCTGGCGTTTTTCCTTCTGGCAATTACCCTAAGTTCCTGGCATCTAGTTTTGTCTTTCCTCCCAAGCTAAAAGCAGAATGGACTTGACCTCAACTGACATAAAATATGGAAGAATGCATATGCATTGAGACAAAGTTAATGAATTTTCAGGGGAATTTTTTCCATATCACTGAGTGAAAGCCCACATTTTGAATAATTGCTCAAAGGCAACGTGGAAATGTCTTGTTTATTATCTGGTTCTTGAAAGAGAACGTTGTTCCAGATGCAGTTTCTTCGTCTATTGTTGGTTTGTTTGAATATTTAGAAACACTGAGATTCTTCATTTATTTGTTTATTAACTCAATTGATCCGTTACTATGTGACAGGCATTGTGTGCATGAATTTGCTAGTGGAGAGCTTCACTAATATTTGTCCTACTGCAGTACTAGGTGGTGGGCAGGAGGAGAATCCTTTCTTTTTTCTCCTTCCTTATTCTTGCCTCAAGCATAATGGACCTTTCGCTTTCATGTCTTCCCTTTTCTTACTCTTTCCTTGCACATGGGCTTGTGTGGTTTGAGGTCTACCATCTTTGCCACCATTTAGAACAAGAGGAATGAACAGGATCCAACCCAGGTAGAAAAAGCCCATTTCTGCAATTTCACATATATGGGAATGCTTCTGCCCATCTTATCTGTACATCTCTTTGGATTTGCATAGAATATTTATCTCCATAAAAGCTGGATTGGATATGTAGATTATCATGAATTTCAAAGTTGTCCTTTTACAGCATTTATACGTGACCTATAAATAATATTAAGAATAAAACAAAGCAAAAAAGCCATGAGTTCCGAGTCCTGCAAAGGTGATAATTCATTGGGAAGTGTATGTCAAAGCGCTCCTAGTTTGAAGAATGTGAAGGGAGGCTCTGAATACCCTTGTATGACTATACTTAGGAGTGCACAGTTTTGTAAGGGGCTGGTCGTAGGTGGCTGACAGGTTTCCTGTCTTAGGACTTCTCTCCATTAGAAGAAAATGAAATGTTTCTCGTACACTTAGCAGTCATAGAACTAACATTTCTTATACTTTCAAAATCTTTTGCAGGAATTTGAACTACTTGCTTATGAAAGACAAAATGTCTTTTATGAGTTATATCCAGTTTAATGTTCATAAGGAACTCCCAAGGAAAGATGACAGCTGAAGCACTAAATGTGCACAGTAAGTTGAACATCTTTTTAAACAGAACTTTGCTTGGAATTCTTTAGTGACAGACAACTTTCTGTTACTGCAGATGTTGCTCTGTAAATTCACTGTGAAATGGCACTTAAAAGTAATGAAAGGAAATGCTTTATAGTTTTGAATTCCAAACTTAAAATAAAACTTCCCAACTTAAGTAGGAAAATTATATAGCTTAGAGACTATTTGAACACTGAGAAGAAAGGAGAGGAATCAAAAATCACATCTAGTAGAAGTGTAAGGTTTCGCATGCATTTAGATATAACTAACTAACTTTAGGATGGGGGTGGTTGGTTCCAGTGACCACAGTACAACTCTAGTTAGAATAAAAGCCATCTGTGTTGCATATGACAACTCTCTTCCCTAATATTAAAAGGTTAATAGTTGTGACCTTGACCTTTTTTACAATGAGTGTATAAGGATGCAGCGTTCCTCTGATTATTTGATAACAAAGTGATACACCAAGCACAGATTTATTTGAAGAAGTTGGGATTTAGTGAATGAACAATTGTGGATCTCGAGTTCTTGTTTATAGTCAGCAGCTGATAAATGATCTCATTTCTGTCATTAATGATTCTTTCATTTATTGAAATAAACACTTTAGAGCACTAGTCAGGGTGTTTGAAGCAACTTCACTAGTAACTTGATTGGTCATGTAAGCAACATGTAGAATTATAAAATTCTGTACACCTTAAAGAAGACATTTTTCCGGCCGGGCATGGTGGCGTACACCTCTAATCCCAGCACTTGGGAGGCTGAGGCAGGAGGATCGTTGTGAGTTAGAGACTAGCCTGGGCTACAAAGTGAGCTCAAGGCCAGCCTGAACTGCATAGTGAGACCCTGTCTCAAAAGACAAAAAAAAAAAAAACAAAAAAAAGTTTTTCTACTTCTAGTATTTTCCTGATTTTATTTGTTAGACTAAAATTAAATGCAGCTGGAATTTACTTTGGTGTAAGTAGTAAGGTATTGATCTAGCTTTCCATTTTTCCTTTCAAATTGCTAGCCAATTATCTAAAAATCATGTATTAAGGATGCAACTTAAAAATGTGCCTGTGTACAAAGCTATTAAAGTGAATATTAATAAAAACATGGAAAATTTTTAGTATGACTTTCTGTATAGATGGTTTATTCTAATTAAGATGAATTCAAGGTTTAATGAGGACTTATAAAAAAATAAATTCAAGCAGGGCATGGTGATACATGCTTGTAATTCCAGCACTCTGGTAGTCTGAGGCAGGAGGTTGTGAGTTTGAGCCTAGCCTTGGCAACTTAGCAATTTAGTGAGACTATCTCAAAATTAAAAAAAAAAGGGGGCTGGGGTTGTAATTTAGTGCAAAGGCTGGGGTTCAAGCCCCAATACCCTCCCACCCATATTCATGAATTAGTAAGAGACTTTTCTACCTACAAAAATTTAAATAGGGGCATAGAATTGCCCCTGAGTGGAATAAAGTGACTTGTATGAAAAATGCAGAAAAAAATATTTTGAGACGTACATAGAGAGATGAGCACTTATTATCTACATGCTGCCTTGTTTTGGGGGAGCTGTATCTCTCTGGGCTCTGCTCTGTGAGTAGAATCATAATCACCTTTTTTGCTTTGGCAGACAAACACAATCCTAAATGGTATAGTACAGTTTTTGTTGGTGTTTTGCTCTCTTCACTCTTTCTTTAGCAAGGATCACTTTTTAAATTTGAAAAGCATTACTAGAAGTAAAGACTATTTTGAAGGCTGAGAGATGACAAGCGATGATAACCAAGACAGTGAAGTGTTTAGTGGGGGGGGGGGACAGAACAATTAGAGAAATGTAATGTAGTGTACTGAAGGACAGCTATTTTACTATGATCTGCATGTTAAGTGCCGGAATAATCTGCACTCTGTTTTTATAACACACAAATAACCAGTAAGAGTTGATTTTCGAAATTTATTATTTTTTTTTTTAAAAGCAACTTCCAGGGTTTGTCATTGTACAGGTTCAGCCCAGTCTCCTATAGCACGTACAGTGATAACTGATTTTTTTTTTTATAACAATGACTCAGAGGCGCTGAAGATCCATAACTGAATTATAACAGAAAAAGAAAGAGTTAGAAGAAGAGTTTAATGTTAAGTGCATTTAAAAATCATATTCTAATTCTTTTAAATTGGTTATCCAAGTATGATAATATAGCTGAGCTCAGATAACTAGAAAAGGCAATTGACTAGAACACTCCATTCCCACCTGGTGTGCATTAACAGGCTTTTTATTGCATATATCTTTATATAGTTTGCAAAATAATTCAACCCGTTTTACACAACATTAGTTTTTTTTTTTTTTTTTACTGAGTTGGCATTGGGCTGAAACTGTTGCTTTTTTTCTCATGATTATGATTTTTTTCCAGTTCCTTGATGGATTCCCCCCATCTGATGTTGTTCACAATTTAATTTATATATGATAATTCAAAATTATCTCTGCTCATTCTAATGAAATTTATAGTGAGATTACCTGTGACCAGATATCCAATATTATTCATTGATTTATCCACCAGCTCTGTTTACCTTGGTAAAAAAGAGACCTCATGTCTCACTGAAGTGTGTACTAAGCTCCCGGAAAGAACTGTGAGCTGGCTGTCAATAGAGGGGATCACAGTTCCTAGCAAGGTTCTCATTAATGCTGTGCAAACAAGGGTCTCGTCATTTCAGTAACTATTTGTACAATTATAAAGGCAACACAGTCATGGGAAAAACCAACAAGCACAGCTTGATAGAATAACTGCCATGAAATATCATTGGCTTTATAATAATTTACTACAACTGTTCTTTTTATTCACACTGGATAGGAAATGCTTCCATCTAACACATGGAATACGAATATATACAACAAAAATTTGGTTTTTATAAAAAAAAAAAGAGAGAGACTTCATAAGGACAATAACACAAGGGTTGAAAAAAAATAATTTCCTGCAGTTTCCTGATCACAATCATGTCTTCCTTTAAAGGGAATGACGCAGAACTGATGGATTTTTGTAAACCAGTTAAAGAATTCTTTTGCCTGTAACAGCCTACTATGAAAATACACTGTTTTACTTTGTGCATACAGTAGGTAGAAATTTCTCCTTCTTAACTGAATGCATATAGGTGATGTGGTGGGTTGGTTTTAAGGACAAACCCTGCTAATCCTTTTCAAAATCACCGTATATTTGCAGTTCTCTAATTCCTCAATATTCTGCCACAAAACCTCCTGGAAACTGCACAGGGCATCTGAGCGAATTGCTGCTGAGATCCTGAACGTGTGTTCTTGCCTGATGCTGCCATCTTGTTGCACGGCAATATCAGCATCAGGCTTCAGCTTTCGGGTAGCCGCGCCAGTCACGTGGCAGTGGTGTGAGGGGACTGTTTCGTACTGCCAGCAGTCAAAACAGTTGCCGTGGGCTCAATGTCTCTGCGGTGTGAACCCAGGGGATCCATTCTCCTAAGGAATGGTTTTCTGGGGCCCAGCAATGTCACTGCAGGTGGCTGAGACATTCTGGCCCCTGCTTCATGAGGGACTATACTAAAGAAGTAGCCTAAATAGTCTAAAAATAGACAATGCAGCAGAGCTGGGTGGGCAGGAGGGATGCTGCTTTCATAGATTGTGAAAATCATCTCTGATTTTAGCTCCGTGAGAAGGTTGGGAGGTTCTTAGGCAGAGGCAGCCATGTGAGAAGGGGAGGGCCTGAGGTGCACTTGGAGAAGTGTCAGTCTGGTGTTGGTCTTGCAGATTCAGTGTCTCCGGTCCTCCACTAGGGCACTCTCCTAGGTTTAGTCTCCCCTGACTGTACCTTTTATGCTGGTGGACTTTTCCATCCCCATACAAATCCCTATTTATTTTAGTTTTCTAGGGTTCACTTCTCTCAGTTGTGACTGATGAATGGCTGGTGTTTTGACTTGTGATTTGAGAGGATGGTTGAAGGAATCATTGAGTAATTGGGAAACTGTGCTGGAGTTGATTAGCAATGTCTGCATGGGCATAGGAATTTGTGTTAATGGAATACATGCCACATGTGCTAATGTCTCTGTTCCAAGCAAGGTGAGAGAGTGAGGCTGGCTTGATGGATTCTTGTGGGATCTTTGGAGAACAGAGTCCAAAGCACTAAGCTTATATGTCTTTTATATTCTGCTTTGTTTCAGAGAAGATTTAAAAATATGAAGGATTTATGATAGGAAGTTTTGCACCAGTGGAAAACTGAAGGAGATCATTTTGAGTAGGCTGGTATAGGAAGTCTTTGACAATGATCTCTGTTTAGACCCCTGGGTGAAAAAGCCCAATGGTTTGGCAAGTTATCACTGGGCTCTCCGGTGAAATAGATTCAGAATGACTTGGAGGAATGGGATCGGTCTCAGGCATGGTGGGGATTTCAGGCAGAGCATTTTTATGTTGCACACCTGGTGTATTTCTCCTTGCTTAACAGTTGCTATTATTTGTAAGTATGTTGAAAAACCTAGGAGAAGTATATTTGCATCTCTGCACACATGCCTTTTTTGAAGTTAATCAAATCAGAAAACTTGGACATAGTTTCCTCATTATGTCAGGACTACTGTCTCTCAGTTCTGCCTAGCTGTCTCTGGGATACACCTTTACTGAGAAAGAAAGAAAAAAAATCAGTGATATCATGTGGTAGGTGTTAATAACACTATTTGGGGAAGGTCAATTCATATGTGTCTCTGGAAAACAGGATCAATCACTTTTTCATGTCTCAAGTGATTTAAACCAAAGCCAAATCTTGATTTTTAACATGAATCATTAACAGCGTTGCTCTTTGACAATGCCACTTTCTGTTGATTTAGGGGACTGTGTCCTGCCAAAGCCACCTCTTCTGGCTGCTGATGGCCGGTGGGTTTGAGAAACTGTCTGATGCTCCTATCAGTACTTTCCTGTCAATGCACACGACTGATTTCACTTACACATCAACTTGGCAACGTACCTTACCCATCGGTAAACACCTGCTCCCTTCCTCACTTGGAAACTGCTAGAATGTGAAAGGAAAATGAGGCATAGCCTTTGATCCACCTGCAAATCCCGGAGGAACATCCTTTTGAATACCTGTCTGAGTTGAGTTTCTTGACACCCCGGGGTTTCCAAGCTTTTCCCATATTGTAGGCAAAGGTTTCTCCCTTCCCGAGGGGTACACATTGGGGAGGAATCCTCGGTTTCTGGGCCAAGGGTCCGGGGGCAATTCATGAGGTGGAGTGGAGGAGGGAAGGCAGCATTTAAAAACTGAGCAGTGTCACTTCTTACCCGACTCTGTGCTTCACTCTCATAGAAATGATTTTCTTACGGTCTCCACGAGACATAATCCTGTTGAGAGCATCTTGGCAATTTCACCATCTCTGGAACTGTCTAGAGGTGACGGATGGCTGGCTATCAATGTGATTGTAGTTGCCTCATCATTTGTTTTCAGGCAATTAAAGAATTTCTGTTCCTTTCCGCTCATCACAATATCAGTATATTGGTGCTGCCAACCAATTTTTAAAGTATGTGAATGTCAGCCGGCTTAATCACCACTCATCCCCTCTAGCTCAAAAGACTTGTTCTAACAGCAGAGGAGCATCCTCCCCGAAGTTTCTGAGATGGCCCAGAGCACAACTTTGGGCTCTAGACAGAAGGCCTGGGAGGAGGTCGGGAGGGGGGCGGTGCCCTGTTGGGAGGTGGAGCCTGAGGGGGAGGGGGAAGGTTGGAAGGGGGGGATGGGAAAGG